ATTTTATTAGGGTGAGAAGTCTTTTTGTGCTGCTTCGCTCAATTGTCGTTCAAACTTCGAGCTCAGCAGAAAAAGACACTTCTCAGCCGCATGGCAACGCATTATTTTTAAAACGATATATAAAACTTAACAACAATTATAATAATATTTATAGAAAATATGTAGAAAGTAAGGTTAGGTAGATAATATTCATCATCTAGATAGATAATATCTATCATATTATGACAGTGGTCAAACTTTTTTATTTGTCCAAACGGGTTTTTTAAAAACGGAGGTAAAAAACTTTACCGGATGGGTCTAAATTATTTTAACAGCCTAGGCGATAATCAATCACTTTAGTGATTGTTGACAATTAAAATAAAGGTTACATTGGGAACGCTTGAAGATGAAATACATTTTAAAAAAGTTTTTACTTTTAGTAATTTTTTTATAAAACATGTTTGTTTTTAACAAATTGCCGTCATAACATTAATGTTATGACGGCAATTTGTTAAAAACAAACATGTTTTATAAAAAAATTTAGGATTACTTATGTTTAAACTTAGGTAATCAATTTCTAAAGTAACTACCTACTTGTTTTTAAAATAATATATTTGGTTAAAAATAACGCTTATATTAAATACCCCAAATTTTGTAAACTATCTAAAAAATTAGAATTTTTTGTAAATATGTTTAATAGTAAAATCTAAATTATTAATTATAATGTTTTAAAGACAATTTGGTTAAAAACAAACAACATATTTTTTTGTCATAAAAGTCCAAAGACGGATAAAAATAAAAACTTTTATTTTTTTAATTAAAATATACTTACCTAGTAAATTCAACTTAATAATTCTTACTTAAAACAGTAAAAAAATAAATAAAAAAAAATATTAAATTATTTCCGCAAAACGGTGCTTTTTGATCAGTGTGCCGCCTTGGGTGGTCATATGCCCGATATCATATTGAACTGTTTGTAAAAAATTAATTTTCACTAGTAATACCACTAGAGGTCAAATTATTTCCGGAAATTTTTTCGAGCTCATGAATATTTTGAAAATTCTAAAAATATTCATGAGGGAGAAAAAATTTCCGGATTTAATTTGACCTCGTGTGGTATTCGGTAAGAAAATTCCACACCAAATTGTGTTTAAATAATTAAAATTTATTTTTTGAATTAACTTGACCTCGACTTGATTATTTAGTTACCATGGCAACTAAGTCAACCCCAACCTAAAAGTTATTTCAGTTTTGAAGCTGTCAAGCGGCACGACGTAAAAAAATGTGAAATTGTCTGCTGTAATGATCAATCATCGTGCAATGACTTATTTACCCGCATTATTAGAGGATTGTGGCTCCTACTTGAAGAAAGAAAATTTGTTTTGAATTGTTCACGAATATTTGCATCTTAACTATTCAAAACTCAAAGTGCTAAATGGAAAAAAAGGTGAATAGAATAGTGTCTAAATATTATATATATTTCATTAGACATAGACATTTAATTTATTTCAAGTCCTGCATTTTCGCCATTAAGAAGAAAGGAGGTGTCCAACGAATATAGAAAACATCTAAACTTTGTAATGGAAATGTATCAAAATTATCATGTAAACAAATAAAAACCAGATTGTCAAACAAATATTCTGTCATTATAAACGTCAAAAAATTTCCAGTATAATTCGCTGTTGGGTACCCACGAGGAAAAAATTTCCACTAAAATTCAACCGTTGCCATGGTGATCTATCAAAAATACACGTTTTGATTGGTTAAAAATTACAGGTGTGGAATTTTCATTAAAATTTATAGCGTTTTAGAGAGAGTTTGTTAAACTTTAAATTAAAGTCGTACGAACTGTACGAAATGTACATTGGTCCTAATATACCCTTATATCTTCAATTAACAACGGGGTGTTTCAAAAACATGCGCCAATGCTCAGCAGGAGATTCGTGTAAATTATGTTTGATAATGATGAAACAAATAAGTACTTTTTAAAATTATTTGACCAGTTTACAAATTGAAAAAGCTGTCACTAGTAACTGTAGTCCTCATTAATTTGTATCCCGGAATGTGAAAATTATTTTATTATCTCAATACAAAAATACAAGGGTATTAAATAGTTTCCTGACGCAAATATTTAAAAAGATTATATGAACATTTGCACTGACCTTTTGATTTCGCCGTAGTAGTGCAGGTAACTAGATTTAACTGATAAAGCGTTAAAAATTTTGCGTACAGTGACCATAAAACATTATCTTCTCTTTTACTGTGAAAAACTGCTTTTATATCGATTGTTAGTCTATTTTGAAGGCATAAATTTTGATTTACGCAGAAAAATTTGAGATTTTAACGCCGGTAGATTTCCAAGTTAGAAATTCTAACGGGAATTCCAATAAATACAACTGTCACTTTTTGTAACTAACATTTTCCGTGTAAGAATTTTTAATACTTTGTGGTAATATTTTGTAATTATAGTGATAAAAAAACAAATTATAGCATATTTTATTAACATAATCATATTTTAAAGTTATTTTAATATTTTAAAGTATACATAATTGTTAAAGTTTAATTAAAATAATAATGGGCAAAGTTAATGGTGAAAATTACGTCATAAATGTTTATTGGGATTGTTACTTTATTTTCGTATGTCGCTTTATACAAATATTTAATTTAAATATTTTTTTAGATAATATTAAGTTTTTGTCGTAAAAATTATTATTATTTTAGCAGTTTAAAAACGTATGCATACACTTTCGTATTGGTTTTGCCAATTTTTATTGTAATAAGAATTTATATTTTTTAAAAATCCCATTTATTTTTATAAATTCAATATTTTCATAAAAACGGCCATGCATGTTGAGCGATCCTAAAAACACCGAAAAGTGACTTCTATTGTTAAAATAAAAAAAATTCATTAAATTTACCTTCTCATTTAAAGTTGATTCCCGAGCACCGTCAGGCGAGTAGCTTTTTGAGAGTGACAATTTTCATATTTGATTAAATATAAAAACTCATGAACCGAGAAATTTTAAATAAATTTATAAACCAAACTTAAACAAAAACGGGACTGGCAGGCACGCAATTTGCATTGCGCTTCTGAAAATTGTTATTTAATTCATACAATTGACAAACAAACGAATTAACCAATCGCCGTAAACAAATTATTGTTTTATAAATTTAAAAAATCCTGAATTTCGAAAAAGTATATTATTGTTTATCCGAAGAGCGATTCACGCTCGGTTAAATGGACAACAAAAGCGCGAGAGTAATCACCTGTGTAATTTATATAAAACTATTTACAAGTGCCGGGTAGTTCGGCGCGAATCTGCGTTTCAATTGGCGATGATTTTATAAAATGTACACACGCAAATATAAACGGAGCTCGGCCGCATGCGAAAATTATATAAAAATGTGTACGTGTTTAGATGGGTAATCGTTTCCTACGGCCACTTGATCATGTCCGCGTGAATTTAACTAAAATAACTACATGAATAAACAAAAATACAGATTATGTCGATTGTGTTCATACAACCGTTCGCACGACTAATTTGATTGTAATATGGAATACAGAATATAAAAAATGAACTAAATTATTCAACATTAAATGATATTTCAATAAAATCTGACCGCCTCAAAAATATACATACACAGTAAAAAATATTTGTTAATTTTAACCAAATATTAAACAGATGTTATGTTAATCCAGGTCCACATAACTCTAAGTTAAATTTACAACCAAATGTAGTCTGTTATCTAATTGAATCAGTATACTGATTCAATTAGATAACAGACTACATTTGGTTGTAAATTTAACTTAGAGTTATGTGGACCTGGATTAACATAACATCTGTTTAATATTTGGTTAAAATTAACAAATAGGTAGTTTGTAATTATAATAAACATTTTGTAGTTTTAATAATGTGGTTTTAATATTAAAAAAGAAATTTGGTAGAATATAATTATCAGAAGCACTACAACAATTAATTATGTATTTCGTAACTTTAACCCACTTCACTGTATCCCCAGTGATGGCATCTTTTTTCGGATACTTCGCACTTTGCACACTTGTTAAATAGGTATAAGGAATACTAGGGTGATCGTTAAAAATTAATTTTTTTGCGACGCCCCCTAAAAAGCTTCTTTTTGATGAAAAAATACTGGGAAATTTTTTTTTAATTTTTTAATTAAAAATAACACGTCCCTCAAGACGATCTAAGTTAATTTTTTTGTATGGTTTGTTAATGTTTTCATTTGACAAATGTAATTTTAAAGTGAAATATTTCTTTCTGAAAGAGAAAATATTTTGAAACAGTGCATTTCATTCGTATCTCTAAATCTAGAGGTAAACTAAAAAAAACACTAGGGTAAGGACGACAGTCGTTGGCACAATTGTAGGCAAAGTAAGATTTAAATATCTATAGTACCATCATAAATTGGACTAAGAATGAATGCAATAAACTCAAATAAAAGCTCAGAAATTTTACTGTATGTCTATATCTTCTCTTTCAACGTTTATCTTTGTCTTATTCATAAAAAAACACAATAGAAAAAACTGGAGTGATTTCACAGTGATTGGCAGGTATGTTACAGTGGTTGACATTATCTATATATGAGTACCTTAGATGCAAAACTCGGTTTTTGCAAATTAAAAAATAAAATAAAATTGACTTTAAATTCTGTTTAGTGTTCGTCCTAGATAAATGGCGTTTATAAAACTTGATACATAATAATATATATAATATAATATTATTATGTATCAAGTTTTATGAACGCCATTTATCTAGGACGAACACTAAACAGAATTTAAAGTCAATTTTATTTTATTTTTTAATTTGCAAAAACCGAGTTTTGCATCTAAGGTACTCATATAGTTGTTGGCATAGGTTAATGATATTATTATAAATATTAATATTACCTATATTAAAATCAATAATGACTAAACAAAAAAAAGGAATAGTGTATTTAACATTATCTTTATTAGCATTTTTCACTTTGTGGAATTTTTATTAAATGTAGGTATCTTAATTCTAAAAAATAATGCACTTAATGCAGATGAATGGTTTTGCAAAAAAATTGTATTGGCATTTAAAATGGAATGTTCTTATGCATTTTGAACATTTTCTGCCCATTCTCTTTGGAGTTATATTTTCAGTACATTTATAGCAAATCCCAGAAGCTAAGAATTTGCATTCTGACTTCTGATAAGTTTTCTTTTGCGAATTGTGTGTCTTTATTTCTTCTCCTTTGGAAGACCATTGTGGTGAAAAATTGTCCAAACAGTTTTCATTATTTGGTTCAGTTGTAATCATGCTATTTCTTACCGAAGAGGACTTTTCTACTCCACTTTCAGCTTTTAATGCCACAGAAGCTTTAACTAATACATTTTGTTGTGTGTGTTTTGATGTCTTGTTTTCTATAGATTTAAGAACAGGATTAAGTTCTGACCAGTCTCTGTGATTAGTTTTCTCTTGCAAATGGTGTATCTTTATTTTATCTTCTAAAGAAGACAAGTATAATGAAACATTTTCCAAAAGCTTTTCTTCATTTGGCGGAGTCTTACTCATGCTATTTCTTTCTAGAGATAGCTTTTCTTCTTCAGTTTTACCTCCCAACGCCGCAGAAGCTTTAATTAGAACATTTTGTTGTATGCGTATTGATTTTTTATTTTTTGTAGCTTTAAGGATGGATTTTTTGTTTTTTTGACCAGATACAACACTTTTTAGTTTTGGTGTTCGACTATTGGCAATTTTTTTCTTTTCTTCCCTTACCTTCTTTTTTCTTTGTTTCTCTTCCTCAAGTGATTTCTTTTTTTCTTCCTTATCTTCTGCCATTTGCCTCCACTTTTCTGAAGTGATCACAAACGGCATTTTTTCTACTTGTTTTTTATTTTTTCTCTTCGGAGAATCTGGCCAGTGAAGAATTTCATGTATGGGTGTACAAAGTAATGAATCCTGTTTGGTGATATTATCTTTTAAACTATTAATTTCTTCATATGTTGTCTCATGTGTAGTAAAGTTAGCATCAAACTTATCTAAGGCCTCCTTTAATACAGGATCAAAAACATCACCAGTGTCTTCATTTAATGGATGCTTATCTGTTTGGCAGGACATATCTACATCTTCTATGAATTTTATTGAAACATTTTCCTCATCATACAGGATATTATCATCAGTCAGATTGGTGTTTTCAAAAAATCTCCAAATTTTAAACAAACTGTTAACCTCAGGGCTATTGTTACTTTGATTTCCAGTTTCAAATAAATTTACAAGGTCTTCACCAAGAAATGTTTTAAATGTCTGAAAATTTAGAACGGGTTCATTTATGGTATTAGCTGGATGATCATTTTGTGTTGTTGTCAATCTATTAGCATTCATGTGTCCCATACATTTAGAGTAATCAAGTGCATTGCAATTCCAAGGAAATAATCCGGTTGCCTTAAAACCATTTATTATTGTGGAATCCTTGACGTAGTCATCAATAACTTTAGAAAGTAAGGGTGCAAAATTTTCCTTAGTAAATTGCAGCATCGGATGTTCGCGCCTCCATTGAAGAATTCCTTTTTGCCAACCAGATTTAAGTGGCTTAAAAGCAGCGACATCTGCTGGTTGTAGCAGCCTTGTAGCGTTAGGATACAAAGCTATAAGTATAATACCTAAACTAGTACACAATTGATTGACCTGAAGTGTCAAATGTGTTTTATGTCCATCAACGAACAGGATTACTGGCTTTTTAGTTTTTGTGTTAACTAAATATGGGTTAAACACATTCGCAATATACTCGTAAAATAAGGAAGACTTCATCCACCCATTATCTGAATAGCCGACCCCCCAATTTTTTGGTACCGTCTCCAAAACTTCTTTTGGTGGTTTTCTTTTGTAGGGATATATTATCATTGGTGGGGTAAGGTCACCGTTAGCGCAAAATGTAAACATTACAGTTAATGCAGCTTTAGCAGCTCCCTGGTCAACTTCATACACGTTCTTTGTTCCTCTAATGGCAATTACTTTTTTATTCTTTGGGCACAATAAAAAGTTGGTCTCATCACCATTAAAAATTCTATTTCCATCCAGCAGAATGTTTTTAAATTCTTCCTCATGTAGTTCTGTTTCAATGGTTTTAAACCAATTTCTTATATCAGCCTCGCTAATACAAGAACTAGCTTGGGTGACTGCTTCGGTTGTTCTCAAACACAATTCTGGGTGTCTTTTCACAAATGCCCGATACCACCCTTTGCCTGGCAGGCCATCGCGAAATGGAGTATTTCTAGCAGTTTCCTTCACAATATTTTGTACACTGTGCTGGACATCTTCAATCCGCCTAGGAAAACCTTTTCTTTGGCATGTTAATATCCATCTAAGATAAATTTGCATCAGTTAAATTATTTAAACTAAATAAAATTAAAACCAACTCAACCAAAACTTCTTCTTCCTTGTAAGTAAGATAAGTGCTTGGACCAAACCCAGGTTTTTTAAATTTCTGCCCCATTCGAAATTGAATAGTTGACCTGGGTACACCAAACATTTTTGACGCCTTTAATTTGGACATGCCATCCCTAACAGCCTGTACAGCTTGAATAATTTTTCCTTCTCTTTGATCCATTTCTCTAAGAAATATAAGTAGATATAAACAAATAAACGTTTTATCAAAGCAATAATATTGCAACAAAAACATCAAATTACTTGATGCCAAACACTAAAACTCAAAAATTTATCCAAAATACAGTGCTTGGCCTGACCTGCCAAGAACTGTGAAATAATTGTTTTTATGTGACAGTGGTTGGCACTACAAAATTTTGAGGTTAAAATACAAGATGCGCCATTTTCTTCATCCCATTAACAAACAAAAAGCCCTTGACTGTATTTAACATCATTTTTTAAGTCATTACTTACCTTAATATATAAATACACACAATTATCTAACAGTAGTTTAGATAACACAAACATTGAAAAACTCTTCTAAAAAAACGCGCGCCAAAGCAGCACACATGAACATTTAGTACCAACAGCAGAAAGTAAAAATACCCTATACATCATGCTTCATATTGCAAACTTTTAAATGGCAAAAACCCCATACCTTAAAATTAAAAAGCAAATAGTTTATTTGCAAATACAAATACCTGTGTCAACTACTATAACCCTGCCAACGACTGCAGTCTTTACCCTATGTTTTTCGGAATCAGCGCGACATTTTACCTATGTCGAATTTTCTAAACTATAGTGTTTTAGATTAATTTGATCTCTACAAATTACAAAGTTTGCAAATAATTTAAAAATGTAAATTCAATAAATTTCGTTAAAGTAACCTTGAAACCATTGACATTTTAGAATAAAAAAAAGTTTTTATAACACTAAACCTCGCAAAAAATACACTAATTTATTTAAATTTAGGTCCAAACAAAATCCTTGATATCAGAACTATTAAATATAATATTATAGCAATTTTGCTTATTTGCACATTCATTTTGAATTTATAATGCATGTAGGTATTAATAATTATGTTAAAATAACACTGGTCGACAGCAATTTTGTCACAGTGGCCACCAACTTTTCTATGGTAATTTGTGTGCGCTGATTCCAAAGTCGGTCAACATTTTTCTTTTTTTTTAATATTACGAAAAACAAAAACATGAAAACATTAAAATCCGTATAGGTACATAAATATATATGGATCATTTCACCAAATAATTTTTTTTGGTGTAACCCCCGCGGATTTTTATAAAATTTCGTGGAGTTATTTTTTACATTAAAATAATGGCTTGTACGTTTGTCCTCAGAAATATTAGTGGTTTTTATTTATTTTTTAAGGTAAGTAATAATAATTTTATTGAAACGAAGTATTGAATAGTATGTATGAATAGTATGTTCGGTGTTCGGATGCTCTCTAAAAATGAATTAGTCAAAAATTACTAATTTAATAGTTATTAGTGGCTGCTTTTCACTTGTACCATAGTTAACCATGAAATACCATGGTATCCCAAAATTTAACAGCCAATTCTTATGTAAAATTGTCCCCTGAATCAGAAAATATCGTCAAGAGTTCAAAAAAGTTTTTGAGATATAGTCAATTTTCCATTTAATATGGAATTGACTATATCTCAAAAACTGATCCACGTTCATAAGTTTTGACGGTATTTATATACCATATTAGTTTATAGCATTGCCCCCTTCGTGAATAAAGGAATTATAAAGTAATATTTTAAATAATTGAGGTTATGCATTTGTCAAATTAACGCCAATTCTGTCTTTTCTGAAAATAATATAGGTAGATATTTTTGAACAAACTTTTTGGTTTGTCGCAAAAACATACATATATTAAATTATTTTTAAAAAATAAGACACAATTGGCCAAAATTTGACATGAACCCATCGTAAAAATTACATATTTAAAGTAAAAAATCCTCAGCTTTCAAAAAAAAAAAAATTTGAGGATCTTTAGTTACTTATAATAAAAATTGAATATTTTCAAAACATGCTAAGACATTTTTACAAAAAACTAATGTTATTTAATTAAAAAAAAATTAACGAAAAAGTTAAGAAAAAATACTTAATATTAAGAGTGCGTATCAAAATTTATATTTACGTTCATTTTTGCTTCTGTCCAATTTTGGATAAAAAACGATTTTTTTTTTAAACATGAATTTTAATAGAAAAAACTTTATGAATGTGTCCAATTATTTTTTTTGTTTAATTAGGAAAATATATACTCTCTTAAAATGATTTAGTCAAAAATAACTAATTATAAGTCATATTCGACTAATGGTCATAGCAAAAAAAGTTTGTTGTAAAAAAGAACTATTTAAAAGTGAAAATTTTTTTAGTAAACAATTCTCGTACTAATTCAAATTGTAACATTTTGACTATTTCATTTCAAGAGAGTAAGTTGCGAATTTTAATATTTTCATGTCGAGAGAAAAGGTTTTTTCACAATATCTCAAATAAAAATTAAGTATAGTGATGGTTATTTTTGGAATTAAGGCACCCAAATTACTGGCCACCCTGTGGCAAACAAAAATTTTTATTTTGTCGACCAGTGTAATCTTTAATTAGTATTTCCATAATAGTCAAACATTTATGTAAATGCCAATGTTACAAATAAAAGTTTTATAAAAAAATATACCAATTAGGAAACAACTTGAGTCCTACAAAGAGAACGTTTCTCGCATAATTTGTCAGTCCTTGGTGTAAATGATATACCTATTTATGAATACACCAACTGTTTGTTTAGCCGGGTCTGTATGGGAAAATGAAAGAAACAAATTTTAAACAAACTTATTGTTTTCGAATAGGTACAATGTCGAGTAAATGTGTGCAATTGCAAAATTTTGTCCATTGTTGTCGATAGTGATACATTATTTTTTATTTCGCATGCCTAAAAATACGTGTAATTACTGTAATAAGCTTTAAACTATCATACGCAACATATGCACATTATGCACATGCACCCATTAATATGCCACAATATTTAATTCAATTATTTAATCTTTTACTTCCCAAGATATTGACAATTTTAATAAATTTGTGTGTCATTTCTAAAATATTTATTTGCATTAAAAAAACTCTTTTAA